GGATTCTAGCGTTGTAAGTCCGCAGACATACCGCTGTGCCACTGGGGGGGGGCGATGCACTAGTAAAGAATATTATTAGCACAAAAAACTAAAGTATGAAAATATATTTGGATTCAGTAACAATCAAATTACAGCCTTTTTTTTGTTGTTGTTGTTGTTGATCAGTAATGGTGGGGTTCAAATATCACAAGATGTTGAGTAAACTGAGGTTGGGTGAAACTATTCATTTTATATGTGAATATACACATGAAAAACTTGTCAGTAATTATGGAGTTAACTGCAATATTGACGGTGTCATTGGGGTCCAAAGTTATGGACCCGTTTGGTGTATAAATAGATTAAATAAAGTGATCATGGTTTGTTGTTTGTTTTATAAAGCTCCACAAAAGGTCATCTCCACTAGCCGGTCCTAATTTTGAGCTGATAGACTAGAGGGACGGTTGCTAGTTAACAGCACCCTCCGCCAATTTGTTTTGGTTACTCAAATCAAATAGGAGGATTTCACTATTATAACGAATTCACGGCTCCAGAGAGCAGAGTGTAATTTTTGCGGTAACGGGATGTAAACCATGGGTCCTGAATGATGATAACTAGGCCACGCCTGACACACACTGGGGTTTGGGTTTCATTGGTAATTATAGAATTAAAGAAGGATGGAAAACTAATGCGGACTTTTTTTTTCTCCTAGTGCAATAAATCCAGACAATGACCATTTCTTACTGGTTGCTAACAAAGTGTAACACGTGAGATGGAAATAGCTTTAGTTTAAAATAAAACCTATAAGGGGAAAAAATAAGCTATAAAAAAAAGATTAGGTTTCTAATAGTCCAAAGCTTCTGAGCATGATAAGTTGTCTCTGTTGACCAATCAGAAAGAAACGTTTTGCCCTGCATCCCCTTCGTGTCAGTGGCTCAGCTGTAAGCGTGAGGGTTTATAATGTTAAAAACAGTCACAGTTGGATCAGCGCAGATAGTCCATCGTGTAATAACGTTTCGCTGGAAGCGCCCTCTGATGTTAACCTACTACAACTGAAAGAGTTGGATAAATCATTAAACAAAATGATAACTAACGTAACATGTTCCAGAAGAATCAGAACAAACTTATTCGCTCCGTTTTTAAAACTGGATAAATGTACTAAGACTGAAAGTAGTTCCGTCTTCTTTTAACAAAAGTTAACATTTTCATGAACAGGATGATAATAGTTTTGTTCAAGAAACATACCCTGTTGATCTCGTACATTTTTTTTTCTCTCTTTTAGTATTAAACATTAATTTATTCCGTTGATCACAAAGTAATTAGAGGACAAGTAAAAACAGAAATAGATAATATTAAGGAATGGGGGATCGCATTCATTAATTATTGTTATACTTATAACGCACTCATTTTAATCTTAGATTTAAAGAGGGATTTCGTGGCTCTTCTTCTTACGCTTTGGTTCGGTAGTCTCTGCTTCCTATTCACTTTCTTATTAAAGACGATATAACGATTCCCTGTAAAATTTTGAAAATAACAACAACAAAAATCTACATGCATCATTAGTCCAAACTGTTCTTCTTTCTAATTGCTCTCTTTCTATGGTATCAAAAAGTGTTTGGCCAGAAGAAAGTAATGCCACAACAAACGAACTTCTTATGGGGCACAACTAATCGATCAGAAGAGTCAAACGTGTAACACCGCTGAGGACGGCGTCATATTGGTGACTGACATTTTTAGCCCAAAGTTTACACGTAATGCTAATTGCCACGCCTACTTTCGGTTGTCGAAATCGTATGACCACTAGGGGTGGCATATAACCAGGGTGACTCGTGTAGGGGAAAAAATTGACGGGGAAACCTTGCTCTGGCATGAAGAGAATCGGGCCCATGTTTTCCTTATCGATATCGGTGTCACCCTGGCAGTCAATGAAAGCGAAGGCGGGGTTGTATCCGTGACGAAGCTCCTTCGGTAAGTAGTTACCCAATTCTAGATCTCTGGTACTGTAAGTTTGGGGTTTCCAGCCTGTGATATTTGGAAACTGGAGAAAAATGCATGGACTCCCATCTTGATAGCCAAAAAAGTTACTTGTTCGGCAATCCGGTGATATCTGGCTGGTATCGAAATAGCACGTGTAGCCATCTGGGGGCAGTTGTCCAAAGCACTCCGTTCTATTTCGGTCGATATTGAGTTTTGAGTGGTAGTTAGACATTAAATTACTCAGTTCATTGACAAGGGTGGGCCAATCAGCTCCTTCGTGGGGGAGGCTTCCGTGTCGAAATTGGATCAACTGATAGGGTCCTTTTGGTCGTGGATGAACCATCAACAGACGGGGGGTGACGTCCCGATACGTTTCTGACGAGTCTTTCATCGCCAGAAGTGTGATGATCAGAACGACGATGATCAGTAGAATGGCCACCATGACAGCTATCCACCACATCACCCTCGGTTTAGCCAACCAGGACCGAAACCCTTTAACTCTGCCTTCTTTACCAGATCTAGAAGCTGCGTCTCTTTCTTTAGCTTCAATCGCGGAGGCCACATTAATACTTTCAATCTTAAGAGGACTTTCCTCGGCTGGTTCATCTTCCTTTTTCCCATCCATGTTTTCCATTACAAACGCTTCACTCTTCTCTTGTCTACCTGTATCAGTCATTATGGGTAAAAGTTGGATTCAGAAGAAATATGATATACCCTTCTTTCCCCTTGACCTTTGTCTTAAATCTTCTTATTGAAGAGAAAGTGCCTTCTTTTCTGGAAAATAGAAAAAAACATGTTCACATAACCAATGGAGTAAATTAAAAGCTCACAACTGGTTAGCTTGAGTGTGTTTTGTGTGTACTTTTTAACTATTGTGACCAATAACACCATTTTTGTACTTTTACCTCACGATAAATGGTAACTTAATTATTCTAAACTATTAATTGGTTCGCTCTGAATTTTACGTAAAGCTACTCGAGGACTATCTGCGCTAGCCCTCCCTAATTTAGCACTGATAGAACAGAGGGAGGGTAGCTAGTCAACACTACCCACCGCCAACTCTTTTACCAAGAAATAGTGGGAGCGACCGTCACGTTATAACGCCTCCACGGATACAAGGTCAAGAATGTTCGGTAATGGTGGTTCGAACCTACGACCTGCAGATTTACGAGTCGAGCACCCCCTAACCACCAGGCCAAAAGTATTAATAAGCATTCGTCTTGTTTTTGTTTTTTTTATGTTTAATCTATAAGAAAGTTGCTCGTATTTTTCTAGATGCTAAATTATTATCGTCTGCTATATTTAGGATTTGAATTATTTCCGAATCCCGCAGTGGTCAGCGGTAAGTTTACGGACTTACAAGGCTAAAATACGGGGTTCGATTTCCCGCGGTGGACACAGCAGATAGCTCAATGTGGCTTTGCTCTAAAACAAACCAATCAACCAAGGTTAGGGAGCTCGACTCGCAATCTGCGGGTCGCTAATTCAAATCCCCGTCCCACCAAACATGCTCGCCCTTTGAGCCGCGGAGGCGTTATAATGTGAGGATCAATCCCACTATTCGTTGGTCAAAGAGTAGTCCAAGAGTTGGCGGTAGGTGGTGATGACTAGCTGCCTTCTCTCTAGTCTTTCACTACTAAATTGGGGACGGCTAGCGCAGACAGCCCTCGTGTAGCTTTGCGCGAAATTCAAAACAAACAAACAAACTGTAGCATCTATACGGTCTTGAAAAATACTTCATGCATCAAACATATTGTTCTTACTGGTTCCTACTTATAAGGTCAAACAGTAAAGAGAGTCTTATATTTACTTCGGTTAAGCTTGGCGTGACTAATTAATTTTAGAATGAGCCTCATTTGTAAATTAATTAAATAGAACAATAAGCGAGAGAGCAGTTCCGAGAGTTATTTTTTAATTATTTTTTTTTACTGCACCACGATACGAAGTTGTACTACGTCACGTGATTGTAATTCATGAGAAGGTTTAGATAACGCAAACTTCCTCTGGTGTTTTTACAAAATTGCTCTGTTCACGTTAACAAAAAACAACAATAACAACAAGTAAGAGTATATGCTCTCTTAAAATATAAAACGATATTAGAACTCTGAACAAATTCGACTTAAATATACAAAAAAAGGAAGAAAACTTTTTTAAAGTTTGGAACAAAGCACATTAAAAACGTACATCTTTTATACATCAATTTACATCTGGAACTTCTATTCTACTTCCTGTAATAATAATGCATCATCGAGAATCAGACAGTAAAGAATATTATAAATCAATTTATTTAGTAGTTTTTCAGATTAACGAGCAAGAAGATTTCAAACACATCTTCTCCATTTGATCAAATACATGTTCCCCATTTGATCAAATACATGTTCCCCATTTGATCCAACATATCTTCCCCATTGATCACACACATCTCCTCATTTGATCACACACACATCTCCTCATTTGATCACACACATCTCCCCCATTTGATCAAACACATCTCCCCATTTGATCAAACACATGTTCCCCATTTGATCCAACACATCTCCCCATTTGATCAAACACATTTCCCCCATTTGATCAAACACATCTCCCCCATTTGATCCAACACATCTCCCCATTTGATCAAACACATGTTCCCCATTTGATCCAACACATCTTCCCATTTGATCCAACACATCTTCCCATTTGATCAAACACATCTCCCCATTTGATCACACATCTCCTCATTTGATCACACACATCTCCCCATTTGATCAAACACATCTCTCCCATTTGATCAAACACATCTCCCCATCTGATCAAACACATCTCCCCATCTGATCACACACGTCTCCCCATTTGATCAAACACATCTCCCCATTTGATCAAACACATCTCCCCATTTGATCAAACACATCTTCCCCATTTGATCAAACACATCTCCCAATTTGATCAAACACATCTCCCCATTTGATCAAATTTGATGCACTTGAAAATGATTAGAAAAATATTCAGAATCAGCCATGGGAGAAAGGTAGAAATCCAAGGTACATTTAGATAAAAACGACTTGAGTTATTTTTTCATTCCGCTTTTTCTATTAAATACAATTGTAAATCAGAAAAGCGTAAATAAAAACTTTTTTTTTTCTCTGCTTGTTTATATGTCTGATTGTCCGAGTAACTATGTGATATTTCTGTGCAATATGATAGTCTAAAATGCTGAAGTTTTATATTCAACGATCCTATATTATTCTTTAGTAATGAAGTCAGCCAGTGTGAAAGTTCGGTGTTATATTATACTTTAGTAATGAAGTCAGCCAGTGTGAATGTTCTGTGTTATATTATACTTAGTAATGAAGTCAGCCAGTGTGAATGTTCTGTGTTATATTATACTTTAGTAATGAAGTCAGCCAGTGTGAATGTTCGGTGATATACTATACTTTAGTAATGAAGTCAGCCAGTATGAATGTTCTGTGTTATATTATACTTCAATAATGAAGTCAGCCAGTTAGAATGTTCGGTGTTATATTATACTTTAGTAATTAAGTCAGCCAGTATGAATGTTCGGTGTTATATTATACTTTAGTAATGAAGTCAGCCAGTGTGAATGTTCGGTGATATATTATACTTTAGTAATGATGTCAGGGATGATATCAGCTGTATATACATTGGTACCTTGAAGTAAGATGTCGGGGATGATATCAGCTGTATGTACATTGTTACCCTGAAGTTAAATGTCAGGGATGATATCAGCTGTATGTACATTGTTACCTTGAAGTAAGATGTCAGAGATGATATCAGCTGTACATAGAAGAGCAAGCTGTATGTACATCGTTACCTTGAAGTAAGATGTCAGGGATGATATCAGCTGTACATAGAAGAGCAAGCTGTATGTACATTGTTACCTTGAAGTAAGATGTCAGGGATGATATCAGCTGTACATAGAAGAGCAAGCTGTATGTACATTGTTACCTTGAAGTAAGATGTTAGGGATGATATCAGCTGTACATAGAAGAGCAAGCTGTATGTACATTGTTACCTTGAAGTAAGATGTCAGGGATGATATCAGCTGTACATAGAAGAGCAAGCTGTATGTACATTTATCATGGAGTAAGATGCTAAGTATGATGAAAAATTGCATGTCGAAAAGAAAGGCATTACATCTGTGTTAAGCATGATTCAAAAAGATACCGTTGGTCTGATTCGATCGGTTGGATGACGGAGAAGTAAAGAAGAGTCTATAAAACAGATAAAATCTATAAGGCGATATGATGGTTTGTTCTAAAAAAGTTTGTATAAACTCTCATTTTATTTTGTTTGAGCTTAACGAAAGGTCAAGGTTCACTGCGGAGAAAGGGTCAGCAGTGCGCATGAACAAGCTACAACGTTTCTTTGATTCAAAATATTAGCTGCGAAACTTTTACAATCATATCTAGTACAAAAATATGTAAAACATTAAGCCTAACGTGGCCCACAAATCTATTTATTTATTTTCTTCTCCAGAACGTGAATTTCATTGAAGAAAAGAGGATATAGAGGCCTAATCTATAGTAATATGGTAATAGTGGCTGCTTATCTGAAACAGACAATCTAGAGAACAACTCAAGAAAATGATCGGTATTGCTTACAGGGACAATAATAGTGGCTGCTTAACTGAAACAGACAATCTAGAGAACAACTCAGAGAAAGGAACACTAGAAGTGGATAAACAAGGAAACTCAAAGTACCTTTTTACGATCAAGAATGACTCAAATTTGGGCTACTAATGGTGGCATAACAGTAACTTTTATCGAACGAAGATTACGAGTTCAAGTGTGTGGAATAGGATTTCATATTTATTTAAATGGTTTTTAACGTATTTACTAATGTCCCTGATCATCAACATCTTAATAGCGCATGAAAAT